AGGTCACAAGGGCGTGAGTGACTGTCTGAAGGGCCTCCCGATCCAGGTAGGGTCGCAATTGGTGCACCAGGCGAACCTTTATGACAGCCCTCTAATAAATTGGACTCTCCACCCATAATCTCTTATAAACTATCTTCAATTTCTTACAAGTGTACTCCAGTTTAGGCTTGTAAGCCTTTTTATTTTTGTCAGCATTTCCATTAATATTTTTTGTGTGCATTAAAACATTTGGGGTAGTTTTATCAGAGTAACCTGAATTTGCCACATTGATACAATTTATTTTTCCCAAAACCTATTTAAAAGATGAAATATGGATTTCCTAATGCAGGTTCTATAATGCCCCTAAGTTCATCAGCTGAAAATGCCTTTTTTTTAAAAGCAGGGGGAGGAAAAAATGATCAAGGAACCTTGTGAAATCTTGATAAATTTTATTTATGTGTGAAAAATTCTATGAGAAGCGTTTTGAATATCTGTGGAAGAATATTCCAATTTGGCAATATGTTTTATTGCAGGGTGGGGTGGGGAGGAATGTTTTGTATTTTGTCTGTTTCTGTGTACACACAGCATCTAGTTTTTTAAATTATTTTAAATATCAAGGTATTATGAGACAAAATCAGCAGCCTTTATTTAGCTATAGATCCCTTTTTTAGAAGATTGACAAGAACTCTTTTTATCTTTGCATTTCCAGGACAGATAGTTTTAACAAAATGCTTGAAGTGTTTCTCTTGTTTTAGATTGAGTGATATAAAGAGGTACAAAACTAAATCCTGGTCTTAGACTTATTCTTTATAACTATTTTGTCAACTACATGAAACATATTAGATATTTCAGCTGTAGAAACGTCAAATCATAATTTGAAATGTAGAATATATGCAATCCAGCTTCAATAACATATGTCTAGGAAGATGATAGTACGTGTTTCATGTATGCAGTCTGATTCATTGACTGAAGGGTCAAGGCTACCCAGATAAGAATGATTAGTAAAATTATTACTAATTTACTTTTCTTTTCTTTTCCTTTTGAGCCTGGAGACAAGGTCATGGTTGTTCCAAGCTTATCGGATGAAGAAGCCAAAAAGCTGTTTCCAGGAGAGATTTGCACTAAGCAACTTCCATCGGGCAAGAATTATCTTCGTTATACCACTCCATAGTAATTGTGAAGAGAAATCATGGGAACAGAATGCTATCACTGGGATTTTGCAGAACTGGTTGCTTTAAATGTGTGGAAATATACTTTAAGAGGCTGTGGCAAAATGGAAGCAATGTATGTACTAATTTCTTTTAAACCAGTGACTGGTGTGGTTTACAGCTTCAGCTAATCAGTTTAGGCTTGTTTTGTTCAAATGAAATCAGTTTTCCTCACCTTCTTCTTGGAATTGAATTTACCACTTTTAAAACAGTACACATTTTTCTTTAATGTATTTTCTATTCTCCAGCCACATAAAATATGATTCATGATCAGCGGATTAATATCTTTTAATTAATGGGAATCAATTTCTGTCATGTGTAAAACATCTTGCATTATGTTTCCAAGATTATCAGAATATCAGGTTCTTGGATTCAGTTTACAAAATAAATTGAATAAACTATTACTTGTATTTGGGACTTCCATTTTAATCCACTGTATTAAGAGCCTAATTCAGAAAACCATACATTAATATTGTGGATGATTAAAGCAGAGGTATGGAATAGATTTAACAAAGATGACATCTTTTATTTAGCTGGTTCAGAAAATAAATCAAGTTAACATATTAATGTGTTACTGTTGTTATTGCAATTCTTAAATACGTCCAACACAATGGAATTTATGCAGGACATCATTCAAGTTCTTTCTAAAAACAGGTTTTGCCCTTCGCATCTATAAATGTGTTTTTATTTTCCATTTTCATTTTCGTACAGTCACATATATACTGTACAGAACCGGGGCCATATAACATTAAA